AGCCAAACTATTCTATGATTCTATGATTCAAGTCTTATGAGGTCTACAACTGTAAAAATTCTCCAGCTACCCTACCAACACCATTTGTGATCTCAAAGGATTACATGAATGATTTATTAAAAAAAACAAACAAACCAAAAAACCCCAAACACCCAAAAAGCCTCTAACACAAAAACCACAAGAAAAAAACACAGCCCAAACCCAAATGCTGCAACTGCCAGTAACTAACTCTCTAGCTCCAGATTATCTAAGTTTTCTCAGTTGCCCAAGGCATGTCCTTGCCTAAGTTTCCCAGGTCTTTCTGGCTGTTCCTTTGTTCTTTGACAACTGTACAACACTAATATTCTTCCAGTTGCCTTTGAATACCACAAACATTTCACATATGCTGAAACTTAATTTAGAAGATTAAAAACCACCAGTCAAGCCTTTTGAGGATTACGTCCAGCCCAGCATGAAGGATATTTCAGTACCTGGAATTTGGTCCAGCAGCTGGGACTGCAGAACTGGTAGACAACCCGGTCTGTCTTGTTGTAATAACTGGGTTCAGATAAACTCTTCCTGCAGAAGCTGCAGGGTCTAGGGGAACCTGATGAAACAGACAGGCATTAATGAGGGAAGCAGCACAGAACACAGGACTGGATTCTGAGGATGGGATGCAAGCTACTCACTCATCCTCAGACTGTCAAGCTATCATCAAAAAGCAAGGGATGAGAACATCAGCAAATTAAGAGCAACAGATTCTCCTAGGACAGAAATTTTAACACAGATGGAGGGCAGAGTGGTTCAAGGAAGTGACCCTGGCTCTACAGGAATTTGGACAAAACAGGCTGCAATACTTGCATCGAAGACCATACCCACTCCTGGACACCATGGTACTCCATGTAATGGAAGGGGCAATGCCAGCACAGTATGACACTACAATTGCTTCCTGCATTCGCAAGAACAGCAATATACACTATGCCTCAGTTTTATGATGTCTACATGCTGCAAGGGTTCCTCCCTCTCCAAATATCCTTCCACTTGTCTCATTGGACTCCCCCCGAGAAAAGCAACGTGCCTTCTTTCCTGTCTCATCCACAAGTAATAAATCATACCAAGGAAGGAGTTAGAGTGGAGAGGCCACTGATTCCCCGTACATAGGTGCTCTTACCAACCAAGCCTGACTGCTTCACTTTGTGGGACGTAGTGCAGCAAATGGAGCAGAACAGGCCCATCTTGCCACTGCGATCCACGTTGGGCAGCATGTCAAAGTTCTTGCACAGCGTCTTGCACCACATACATGGGTAGACCCGAGTGTTCTTCTGCAAACACAGAGCAGAACAGTGATGCCAGGGAGACCATCACAGCCAGAGAGGTCTGACCCTCTACAGTGCCCCCACCCCACTACAGGGCAGCTCTCCTGCAGAGAACACCTGATGCCAGAGCCAGGCTCATAGTCTGCAGGTTCAGGTGGTGGTAGCAAAAAAGCCTGTCTTTGGCACCTCACCTTCTCATTTCAAGGGTATCCTGACAGGAATACAGAGCTTGTCAATCCCATCAAGACAGTTAAGTGAAGCCTGCTTAGAACATAGAGGAACATAACCAGCCAAGCTTTGGGAAGACATCCAAAAGAAGCCAGCCCATGCTAACTGCATATACCAGTGTCACTGCACTGTCCAGCTTATAGAGTGCCTGACCTGTGCTTGGGTCCAAGATGGGCCCCACGCAGAATAAAGAAATTCTGTCTGCCTGCTTCAAAGTTTCTCACAGCAATCTCTTAAATGTTTTGGCAGCAATAAAAGGCCAAGGGGATTCAAATCACCTTAAATAAAGTGCCCTGTGCCATACTGAGCAAAGGAACTGTGTGCCCATGGAGACCTCCCTCCCCCAGGCAGCTGACTCCACACACCTTCTTGTAACTGTTGAGACAGGCAGAGTTGCAGAAGCGTTTTTGTTGGCCTTCATGGAAGAGGTACTCCAGGGGCAAGCCCTTGTTGTAGATGTAAAGTCCGCAGTTGTCACAGCAGTTGGTTTTCAGCCCCTTGGTGGCCCGGAACTTGGTGAAGCAGGCATCACTGCAGATGCGGTGAACCACGTTCCCATTGCTGACCTCATGCTGGATCTGCAGAGACATTATTGCTGTCACTCCCCCAAACCTCCATGTGCCTCATTCTGACGCATGTGCACCACTGCTACCACAACCCTTGGGATAACAGGTTGTTACACTAAAATTCAGGCAAGCGCCATACTGGAAGCTGGTGTGGACTCAGGCTGGCCTCCCTCACCAAAAGTCAGAAGAGCAACTGGGAGAGCAGAGTGGGAGGAAGCAATGAGCTTCAGGGCAGGGAGGAGCAGAAGCCTTATTTCTTCTGCTGGAATAAGGGCTGGTTCACAGTAACAAGGCAGGATCCAAGAGTGAGCCCAAGCCAGCTCAGGTGCTGAGGCCTCACACCACAGGAGAACCTGGCAAATGCCCTGCAGTGGTCCCAGGCATGGCCAGGTGCTGCAGGTCACAAGCACCTCATCCAGGACTTGAAGGACAAGGGATTTTTTTACCTCACCAGGTTTGTGGCAGACGCTGCAACGGCTGGTATCCGAGGCATCTGCGGACTGAGGTGCTGGTCTGTGCTGCTGGGCCTCGTAGAGGGAGAGGCAGACAGAGGTGCAGAACTCACGGAAAGAGGCACCTGAACCCATCTGGGCAACCACAAAGTCCTTGGTGTTCCAGATCTCCCTGGGGATCAGGAGGGAATCTGTTAGTGCAGAGGCACACCAGTCCTGCCACAAAGGGACAGGGTGGCACATTGCAATACATGGGACTTTCTGATGTCCCAAAAGGGTGGCAAGAACTGTCTCACAGCAGCTTCTGTCCTGGCCCAGAGGAGGGGTGTCTGAAGAGGGAGCATGCAGGAGGTTGAGAAGAGGCTGGGATAAGGAGCATTGTGCCTGGGGACAGGCAGGGAAAGGTAATAATGTGAAGGGGGTGTAGAGAGCATGGGATATCCAGTGTGGAAAGGAAGACATGGGGCAGCAGCTGGCAGTGGGCTGGGGTGATGTGAGGGAATGGGAAGCATGAGGGTCACAGGGATGGAGACTGGCAGGTAGGGCTGTGGGGCACGTGAATGTCACGTGTTGGAGCATTGAGGAAAGGGGAATGAACACGCACTTTTTACAGAAGGTGCATATCTTCTTGCCAGGCGGTTTTTTTGAGAAGGTGGTGAGACAAGAGCTGGAGCAGAAGAGCTGAGGGAGCCCTTTACGCTGGTAAGCAGTTTGGCCCTTCTGCAGTGGGGTCCGGCAGTTAGCACAAGTCATCTTGGAGACAGTAGAGCGGGGAGCTCGCTGAGCCATCTGAGTGCGTAGAGACATGCGAGTTGAGCGTCGGGTACGAAAAGGAACAAAATCCTCATCGTTGGGATCATCCACCATTGCATCAGAGTCTTCATCAGAGACCGGAACTGCAAATCAGCAGAGAAGGATTCACAGAGATCCCTCATTAGGAACTGAGACAGAAACCTCTGCCATGAGGCACATGCTGGGGCTTTCTCGGGTTACCTTTCTGGAGTCCCTCTACATGCTTTGTACCTGTTTGAGTGGAATGATAAAGGGACCCTTAAAAGATACTGTGTCAGAACTAGAGACAAGTCAGGAGGTATTTAAGCAAACTGGGCTTAAGTACAATTCCCCTCTAGGTAGTCATGATTTGCCAAGGTTGAGCAGAAGCCTGAAGTGTGAACATTTACAGCAGAAAACCCTCCAAGAACTGGTAGATCTTAAAGGGAACGAGCTGGATCACCAGCCTCCAGCACAGGCAGGCAATGAAGGAGCAACACACAAATATCAGGGAACCTTCCTCTAGACAGCCTGCTGCCATAGAGACAAAGGAAGAAAGTTCCTGGCTGAGGACAGGGAAGATGGATTTCTTGGGAACAACCCCAGAGTCTTACCTATTGCTTAGTGCTTGGTGTCCACACACCACTGTAAAAATAATACAGCCATCCCTTCAACCTAAATGACCTGGAAAGCCAGGCAAGTACCCCAGGATAAAGACTCATGGGGTGAAGTGATCTGTTCTGTGTAGGCCAAAGTTCTGCACAGATGCTTGAGTTCCCACTGTACTCACACCATGAACCACCTGCCCACATGGGGTCTGAGCCCTGCTCTCTGGCTGAAAATGGGCATTGGCCAGCCCTAGTTACTCACTGCTCTCAGAGGAGTTCACAGTTTCAGGCCTGGCAGTTTCTGATCTTCTGGTTCGTTCACTTCTCTTCTGCTCCTAGAAGACATTCAGAAAACACCTAGGCTGACCATCTGCTAGGACAGCCATGTATAAATATCCCAACCATGGTGGAGTTCCAGCTTCTGGAATTTGCCTTCCCAATAACTAGGTTGAAAACAGATAAAGCTCCATGGATACCTCACCAGAGTCGGCAAGATGGGGGAGAGGGGGAAGTAAACTTATGAGAATGACCTTCCAGCTGGGGGTTGCAGGGACACACTGAAGCCACGTTACAGCACAGTGGCAGTGCATGGGGAACACTCTGTCACAGGAGGCATGCAAACTCCTTCCCAAAGGGATGATGAGACAGCCACTGTCCCTCATGAAGTCTGACAACAGTTAGCCAACCTCTACACTCCTGTAGCATATGTACTTGACTGCATTCTCCTCACCTTCTCAGTTGGCAGCTCACTTCCCTTCCCAGACAGGCTTTCTCCTGGAACAGAAACACAGAAGAAGCTTGCATCTAACATCTTGCTTTTCTCCAACAGAAAAGGACAAGTGCTCTTCAAATGCAGCCACCCTTTGGGTCAGTCTGCACATGAAGCCTCAAACAATCCCGGCTAACAGGCACAGTTCTGGTGGTGATCAGACACAGGAAACCTCCTAAACTCACCACCTGTAGCGAGAGATCCACATAGCTTGGGAGGAGTTCTGTAAGGGGGAGTCCTCCCTGCATGGAGGAGACATGCTGGGCAGTCGCCTCCAGCTGCTTCTGACCAAGACTGAGCATCTCCAGAGAATGGCCAGCCTGGGCAGAAGGATTTTGCCTACTAGGAACACCTTTTCCTGGTGACCCTCAGCTCCAGCAAAGACTCCAGTGATGAAAAGTGTGAGCTAAGCTAATACGCTGCTGCAGCTTTATCAGGAAAGCTCCTAGCTGATACAAACATTGAAAATCAAGTTCAAGCCACGAAAGCTAGAGCAAGAGCTTGCGTGCACCAAGCAAGCAGCTTTCAGAGCATGATTTCCTGTGAGCAAGACACTTTCCCCAAATTTAGCCCACCAGCAGCATTGACAATTTCCATAGTGGGGGATAACGGGAAAAGTTGGAGCACAAAACACACTCCGGCTTCATCAATGTGCGGCTGGATGATCTCCTGAGCAAAAGGAAACCAAGTTCCACAGAGATAACAACCTACCTGCTGGTGGTGACGCTTCCTGTACTTTCAGTACACCACTTTCTTCAGGCAAGTTGTTCCCACTATCTTCCCCTTCCTCTGCCTGGTTTTCCTGTGTGGGCTCAGGAGGCAAAGCTGCAGTACTGTTGTCTGGGCTCAGTTCCACCTCTGCTTCCCCTGCCAGCCCTTCCCTTTGCATGGGTGAGCTTTTCCTTGGTGCCTTCAACCTCGTCTTCTTTGTCTGTTTAGGATTGAGTTGTGGGGGGGCCATTGGCAGACCTGAGGATTGTGCTGTGATTTCTTCCGTGGCTGGAGCACTGCTGAGGGCCCCTGAGTCAGGAACTGGCTGTCGAGGTGATTCAGGGGCATTGTCATCAGACAGTGCAGGAATAGCAGCAGCACCATCTTCCTTTAGGTCCCCAGAATAATTTTTTGGTGCATCTTCCCCCTCTTTCCATGTTTCTGGAACAAGGGCTTCTCTAGAGAAGGCAGAGGAGTCTGCCAGTCCATCCTCTACATCCTGGGAAGGATGTGCCTTACAGAGCCCATCCAGACCCTGCGATTTATCTAGCTCCCTCAAGTCAGAAGTTTTATCCAAGTCATCTAAGACATCAGGTTTCTCCAGCATATCCAAGACACTAGGTTTATTTAGAACGAGGTCACTTGGTTTGTTTAGTTCAGACAGGCTGTCTGCTTTCACTAGAAGGTCCAAGTCCCCATCTGCAGTCATCTGCTTGGATTGATTCCAGTCAGGGGGATGAAGAACTGAAACTTCCTGGGTAGAAGCTGTTTGGGACCCCAGGAGATCTTCCCCAAACTCCATGTCAGCAGGGAGATCACCAACAAGTGGTTTGTCAGGCAAGGACAGAGGGTCCAAAGATCCTGAAAATTCACTGGAATCCATTCAGAAAATGGCAACTGGAAATAAGAAAGAGACTTGCAAGTTAATGAAAAGTAGTCTAACATAGTGCATGAATTGTCCACTCCTCTGAACATTGTTGGAGTAAAAAAACAGTGGCCCAGTAATACTGCTAGCCATAACCAGGATACCAGACGGTCAGTCACATCTACTCACGGGTTTACAAAACTCTAAAGCCAAACAGCAGCAGCAGGAGGCAGCAGTTCGGTATAGCAGACCTTTGGGAACTCTACGGCCTCCACACACCTCACCACAGCATAGCAAGCAGACTTGCTTATATTAAGTGACACAATGGGGTATCAGAAATTACTCAAGTACCAATTCATGTGGCTTCACAGAGCTGTTCTGTGGTGTTTAATACCCCCTTCCCTGCCTTCATCTCTATCTCACCAGACCCAAATAATCTGGTCTGTCCTTTCTCCTGAACTGTTCTCATGGAGCTAACACATCTTTTATTTTTAAAATATTCTTTCTCTTAAACATAGATACAGAAAGAACTCCTTTACAGCTCTGTAGCCTGTGCCTCGAACAAGATATAGCATGACAAGATGCATGAATTTTGTCAGAGAACAGATACAAACCATGTTATAGTATAACTATAGCTACAGCATAGCCCCAAAACTATGTGAGCTAATATTCAGACCCATTACAGTTGGAAAAGCTTAAGTTAGAACTAAGAGGAATTCTGGAGAGTGACAAGAAGAAAGGTGGTAAAGCCAGTGACGTTAAAAGCAGCCATAAGAGGAAGAACAAATAGCAAAGTAGACATAAGCATGCAATCCGCAATCAGGAAGAAAGATCAGTGTAACTTTTCAGGGCACAGACAGCACACTTGCACACGAAAACGCGATGCTGACCGCTAACATCAGAGGGATAAAGTTACAGCCCAGCTCCTCATGGTGAACATTATCGTAAGACAGAGAGGGCAAGACTTTGAGATGAGGCAAGTAAACATTTATATCAATATTGGCTAAAAACAAATTATACCCCCACAAAGCACTAATGCTTGACAAACCTGAAGAGGGAAAGGGAGATGGAGCTGGAGTCTACAAATGGTGAGGCAGAGTAAGACCTGAAGTAGCATTATATCCCCAAAACAGGCTGTAAGCAGACACTACAAGGAAGGCACTAGAATAAAAAGATGTGGCACCAACCTACCCCACCCCCATTAGAGTCATTCTAGTTCTAAATTTGGCACTGTTTTAAGCCCTGAAGCAGAAGATTCAGTATTCCCTCCTATTGTGGCTTACTATGGGCATAACTCATCTATATCACCACTGAAGGAGAAAGCCTGAAATAATTTCACTGGTGATGGCTGACTAATTCTTTCTTTATATCCTTCCCTCTGAAAGGATAACCAAGTCTTGCTCACAAATGGTTTACTCAGAACTAAAAAGGACATATTTGGACAGAGAATGTACCCAACTTCTGAAACTCATTTAAGCAAGAGTTTACAGAATCATATCCTACAGCTGGAGTTCAAAGTAATTGCCTCCTTATTTTATTTAAAAACACAGCAACATTTGCTGTTTCACAGTGGCAGATAAGCACTGTTCCCACAATCACAAACAGAAACTACACAAGATGCAATCTTCAGAGATTCTCAGGAAGTTTCACCACTAAAGAGTTTGGTGATTCCATTCACCTTCTTTAGTTAGAGAGGAGACGAAGCTTCCAGAACGAGCAATTCCAGAGCAATAAGGATCTAATATGTGTTTTAAGGTGGCTGACAGAAAGAAGAACAAAGTGAAATGGAAATAAAGACATCTGAAAGAAAGGTCCTAAGGATTTGAAACAGGTGAGAACCATCCCAAGATGATAAACACATTTTTTCTGCTGCTCAGAATACAAACAATGCCTCCTTCTCAAAGATGTCCCTCACCCAAATTTCCAGACAGACAGCAGACCTTACAACAATAAGCAGCAGAAAGGTCAAGCCACTCAGATGAATAAGGAAAGTTTATTCACAGGTATACTTAACAGGACTAACATACTCATCAAATTCACCTTCAGACACTTCGCACAAGTCTGCAATGAACCACAGAGGTGATAACTTACAGAGTATTTGCCACCTTCACTTGGCTTTGTCTTTGCTTTCTAGAAAGAGAACCTGGGAACAATCTTGGAGCATAAGAAATCCCTTGGAGTATTCCCTCCCAGATGAGATGCAAGCAACAATCAGTCTATGAACTTGCCATGTTATTCCTGTGCTCTACAAATAGACCAAAAGCACCTGGTTTCAATAGTGAATACTTTAACATTGCTTTCAAGCTTTGGGCGCAAGAGCATTACCATGCAAGACAAGACTCTAACAAGCTTAATGGCAACAAAACAGTCTTAGAAACAACAAGTATTCTGCAGATTAAGTCAACTCCAAACTATTGGTACCCGTCTGGGACAGATACGCAGACCTTTCTGCAGACCCAAGAGTCTGCAGCAAGACCACTCGCATGTTCTGGTTGGAAGCACAGCACTTGCCCTGTGTGTTCAAGGTCCTATCCATTTTCATCAGCTCTGTCCAAATCCCCCTGGCAGAACAGCTCACACGTTCTGGAGAATGACTCAAAACTTCTTCTTAAGATGTGCAAAGCTCAGGACTGCTGCAGTCAGTCAAACAAAAGAACCATGTATTCAAATACCCCGTTGCTATTCACACCAAGAATGGATACCTGGGGAGAGTATAAGAAACGTAACTAAGAGGATGTTCTTCTTCAGCACATCCTCTATCAAGCAGCAATCAGCTGCTGAAGAACTGCTTGGCTTGAGTTGCACTGAGACTGTCACTGTTAGCGAGTCTGTACTGGGAAAATCCTCTATGAATCTGCCCAATCCCCCTTTGAACCAGTTTATACTTTGGGCCTCCAAAAACTCCAGTGGCAATACGTTCTGCAGCCTGTATTTTCGTTTTGGTTATTTTAAACTTGCTGTGATGGAGCTCTGTGATAAGGCGATACAGAACAGATGAGTGCTGACTTTTGATGCTGTTATGGTTTTGTGGGGGGTTTTGTC